GAACAGCCCATTGCGGTTGATGGGCAATCGGTGTCAGCGAAGCTGGTTATCGCGGGATTTATATGACAGTTGTATGTGGCGCGTGGAGAAGAGATGTAACAAATTTTTATGGCCAGCACAAAACAGTTGGGGAACGTAATAAATTTCGGCAATAATCTGTAGATTCTAAAGTTGTATCGAAGCAAATGCACGGCTAGCCGAACAGAGGTGTTGAGCAGGCCCAAACTGACCGGATTTGATCCAACTTGGCGAAATATTTAAGCGAATTTCCTCCATATCGTGATTTTTCCAGAATTACCTTTCATGGTTGCGTAACACCCATTGTTAAAGCCTCCATGAGATTCCAGGAAAAATTGTTGATACAAAGGGGGGACACAAAATTGTTTGTGTTACTTGAGAAATGGTGCCATCCAAGATAAAGTCCTTTCAGTAGGCAAAATTTAGTCATCGATTGGACGACATTCATAGCCGTCAAACCAACACACAGAATCACTTCGTGGTATTGTATAGTTTAAACCGTTGGACTATTATTCCAGTCTCTAAAATCAACCGGAATTACATACTTGGATTAAATACTTGTCATAAGATACACGTCTCTTGGCTCAGGTGTTATGCGGGGTCTCCATGAAAATTGGCCGCTCAACCACTAATGTCTACTGATTTCTCCACAAAAACGATTAAGTAGTCTATCCAGTCAACTCATTGGCCAGATAACGGTGTGTTTTTCCACAGCACACAAAGGGACCGTTCCACCATAATGGAAGTGAAAGCACACCCTCGTATGTGCAAGTGTTCGGTTAAATTGAAGTTTGGTTTCTTCGTTTGCTTTCATTTTACGGTGGTAATATCTGGTTTGTTTGTGATTCCTTGTGTTGGAGTGGCTTGAGCTGACTCACTGGATAAGGCGCGAGCCTACTGACAGGAAGGCTTGTGGTTTGAACTTAACCCGACGTGTCCTGACGGTTTTTGTTTTGGACTTAATTAGCTTGACAGTATCTCAGCCCCCTAAAGCTTTCTTCGTTTACCAAAGCGGCTCGGCACCAAAAGTGTGTTATAGCCAAACGATTATTATTCCTTCGTATCGAATAGCACAACTCTGCTCCGGGAATGATTATTCAAGTGCGTTTAGAAATGAACTCGGCTTTCTCTCAGCAGTACGTATCCTTGACCGTGGAAGGATTCGAGCCCAGGGTTCAAACTAGTTGTACCTTACAATCACATCCGAAAAGGTGACCTGTTCCATGGTTCACCTATGGTTTACTTCGCAGAACCATCACACTCATTTTTTTTAAATCTACCGTATTTGTGATCCTTGGTTTGTTCGTTGAGCTGGGCAGTTTGACTGCAATCACCACCAATCCAGCTAACACCATCGGTGCGTTGTTAGGGGGCCTACTAGTGCGTCGCGGTGCACATTGCTCAGCTCAGCGAATAAACCAACGAACAGCGAGCGAAGGAAAAGGCCGACCTCAGAGTTCACGTGGTCATCGGCCAATCCGGACACAGTATAACAGAGCAACCAATGAACCAGCCCGACCAAACAGCTAATTGTGATCGAAGGTCAGCCTCGGCCAGCAGGATGTAAATTAACACACACGCAACGCAACTCAATGCACTACCCCCGCCCCACTACGCTCCCATTCAGGGACACGGGATTGTGTTCTCGCGTTTTGTCCGACAAATGCCTTGTTGTAGGACCAAAGTATGGTGCTTGACACGAGCATACAAATGAACACCCACAAAAGCTGGCGGTAGAACGTGGCAGTTTGTCTTTCAGGCGGAATTTGATAGTGGGGCTGGAGTTGAAGCTCAAACACAGATTAGTGGCCAAGTATGTCGCATCAAAAGAGTTTCTGAGCCCTCAGCCTCTGAGTCCTTTGAATGACAGCCTGATGTAGACAGTAGTTTTCTCAACTGAACACTTTGCAGATTGCACGGTCTTGAGTACGAATCATTGGTGGTATCCGTTCTGCAAGAATGTGCATCCCAAGAACTTTAGTTCCTCTTGTGAACGGTCGGATAAGTGTATCTTTATTGCTCTCTTAGTCAAACATTAAATTAGGTTACACTTTTGTTGCAATGGAACGAAGCTATCAAAATGAGTATACTGACCTTTCCACGTTTGCTTTCTGTGGACTTTGCGTTCTATGGTCCCGTCAGTCTTCTTTTTAACATTGACATCGAGGAAACTTGAATGTCCGTTCTGTTCTGATTCGATAGTAACCTTGATTGTGACTTCATTGAGTGCACTGGTAAGGATATTGGAATTCCCATCTCGGATCTTAAGGAACTCCTGTTCCTTTGTATCTACAATGTTCAGTTTACTTTCAACAAGCTAGAGACTCAAAAATTATACGCACTCATTGGACTGTATCGTTGCTACATGGGCGAAATTTTCGTAGTTGCCGACGAAACTATCAGCACAACAGTCGACATAAGCAGTTTCGCTTCAGTCTATACCGACATCAGTGGTATGTTGTTAAACAATGATTCGACGTCAACATGGAGTGCTTATCAACCTTCAAATCTCTAATCTGATCGACTAAGTCAAAACTGTCTTTTAGGCCGTGTGTCGACACTTCTCTCCTGATTGGTTCTAATAGACTCACAAGCCTGTTTGTAATGTACTACTCATAGGGTTGCTGAAAATCCATCGACCTTATGAGTAGTACATTACAAATATACATGTATCGCGATATTTCAAATATCGTAGCGACTGAAACATGAGACGACCTGGTGCAGCACATTCAGTTGCCTGAGAACATCATAAAAGAGAGACTCAGCTGGGTTCCAGGTGAGTCTCTCGAAAGAACCAAATTAGTTTGCAGATGAGTGTATATTCGCTAAAGACTGACAAGCCGTTTGACCAAACCATAATAAGGTGAATTAGACATATCGAGGACGAGGCCCGAGAGGTAGGCCCGGTTTGTGCACATTCGGGAGACCATAGATCCGAGGAACTGTTGTGCCAGTTTGACGGATACGATCGAAAGTATTGGTGTCAATGTTTCCGGATGGTTTAAGACGTCGTACTAGTATTATTATGGGTGACTAAACTGAATCCCAGCAGAATATCTCTTTCAGATTGTCATTCATCTGAATGTGGGCTGTCGAACGGTTTTCAGTAGTCTCCTCGTCTTGCTGCTCTCACCCAAAATTTTATGGTGTCAATTTTAGTAACCGAGTTAAGCAAGGTCCCACTGTGGTCGTCAATTTTCTATCAACTTTATGTTCTCTTTGTTCTCAACATTGGAGTAACCTCACGAATTTGAGAACTAAATCAGCTTTAACAGGGGGGCACTCTGAAAAACCTCAGGATATGGTCTTACACCTGTACTTACAGTAAAGAAACCATCTGAGTCGTGGGTAAACACCAAGTTAAATTTTTTTAATTAAGAGTACGTACAAATTGAAAGCTAAAATAAGCCGAATATGAATTTACAGACTAGGTCTACCTGATGAGTGCAGAGTAGGATGAAACTGGTGGTGGATTGTTCAGAGTTTACACTGGTTTTGTGAATAGCATTAAAACGTACTCCCAAGTGTAACATGAGGCATTCTGTGTGCGGCAAAGTCAGTCTAAAAGTACGCTAAACGAGTGGCCTCAGTGTCAGTTTGCAAATGAGTTTTGACCGCTCACTTTCGCTTTTTCAGGGTGGGGGCGATCGGCTAAAGCATATTTGGACTCCCTGTGTGTTCCACGTGAATCACAATCTAAGACTGAACTGAGGGTCTTGTGACGATTTAGGGGCAGGCCCACGAAGAGCATAGATTGATAAAGGCATAGAGTAGTGCAGGCAGTCAACACCACTCTGTGAACAAACCAGTATTTCTGATCTACGTGAATCTTTTTCTGCATGATGTGGACGTTAATTAACTTGAAAGTCCATTTGTTAACTGCTATTAGAGCTCCCTAGACTGGTCTGTTCGAAATGATTTTTATACTCAAAATAAATCGCTTTTTGAAGAGGCACTTATCTCGTTAACCCAAAATGTGTGAAAAAATGTACGAACACAGTTTTGACAACTTCATTGTCATCACTGGCAGCACGGCGTTCGTGTTCAGCACTGATGCTTCGCTGTCCTGCAACTGTGATTTAGTTGAAAGCCTTATTGTGGAGTACACACTTGAGCTGAACGGGGAAAGGACTTGGTGCTAGCTCACTATACTCACTCCGAGGTGTCTACAACTCCAGACAAGAACTTCACTGACATCAATTAGAAACTCACAGGTCGAGTTAATTGCCATCCACTATTGGGTAGTTTATCTCACTTATGTAGACCACATATCATCATCACGATCGCCAGGCGCTGTGGAATAACATAGCATACGCATTATTTCCTCTAATGGATGTTGCCAACTCAGATTACATGTCGTCATATCGCCCAGATACTGGTCTTGTCGACGCTAGACTATCATCATCATCATCATCATCATCATCATCATCATCATCATCATCATCATCATCATCATCATCATCATCATCATCATCATCATCATCATCGAACGGGAGGAGAACACTATTGCTTTCGTTCTGTACAGCCATATAAGTTCATTTGTAATAAACCCAATAATGAAGAGCAGAACGAAACCGGGTAGCGAGGGGACCTGAGCCTACAACCCTAACAATTTGGGTAGAATATGATATGACCGCCACCAACATCGGTTAACCACCATATCGTTCGGTGTCTCCAGTCAAGCACAAGGAGACTGTATAAGCATGATTCTTCCGTGTGACTCAACAACCACTTGATCAAACGGGTGCTTTGTAAGTAAGTTTACGACGACCTTCTGTGACTGGAAGATGCAATAACTTCAATAATGTCCGAAAAACGACGGTTCTGACATTCTGAAAGGCCAGCTCATTTCTTCTGAATTTTCGGGACAACAAAGGATGGAAAACGGGTCGTTTGTTTCAGTGTTATTAGGTAGGAGCTATGAAAATCACGACGGTTACTCATTTGAACAAGACCCAAAAAATTCTGTGTCAAAAAGGTAGTCTTTTTAAAAAAAGCTTTTATCACTCATTTGAACATTTTTCTTTCAAATGCTTTGTTCCCTTGCGTACTTCTTCCGTTCTTCTTGGAAGAACGATGTGCTTGTTAGCGAATAACGATCTGCCAGTGGGCGAATCAAGTGGCGTCTTTTTATATGGGGTGGCGCACAGTTGATGAAAATGTAGTACACAAGGATGATGCATACCATCAGGATCACAAGACACATTTTCCAGATTTCCAGTTCACCAACGGAGGCGCCGTCATCTTCCAAGTGCCTGTTGCGAGAAACAACAAGCCGTTTGACCAAACCATAATAAGGTGAATTAGACATATCGAGGACGAGGCCCGAGAGGTAGGCCCGGTTTGTGCACATTCGGGAGACCATAGATGTAGTGGAATATAATAGTCAAATTCAATGCGCCAGTGACCACCAAACGCTCCTAGCTCAGCTAAATATGGGCTGTCGAAATAGCCCGTGATAACAGTTGTGATAAAGAGGAATTTCGTTTGTGAATTTTTCAATTTTTATTCAAAAAAGCCGAACCTATGTGAGAATCGCCACTTCAGAGCTTTTTCGGGAAGCTTGCTTAGCATGCCTGATAAAAACCATTTGTTATTGGTGAAGAGTTAAAGTGAGTAGGAGCTTCCTGTATGAAGTGGTTTTTGATATGATACAGTTTCACTTCTTTCAAACTACACTTATAGCTACCTTTCATCTAAAACGACAGGAGTAGAGGATTGGAGACTTCTGGCTATGGAATCAAGCGTGACAAATCCTGGGCGACCATCTCTGACATATGTAATTACTGAAAACTACACCAAATGCCTTTCGATCTGGAGCAAACTTAGCAGACTGACGCAGTCAGAGACAAGGCAATACCTCTGGCGACTTATTCTTGCTTGAATTCATTCGCTGACGTTAGCAGTGAGGTTATTTTGACTCCACAAAAACCATTATCCTTTCCAGTTATGTATCCGAGATAAGGCTCTAAATAATTGCAACTTCATCAGAGGTTGAAGGTTAATCCAGTCCCAGTTAGGCAGTTTATACAGGTATTTGTTTTAATTAATTCAAAACTGCGTCATTTTAAAGCTGGAAAAGTCCGAGCCTATTGTTTAGCATGGTGGTCTACTTCAGAAGAGTAAGCTAAGCGACTTACCACGATTTATGATGTGCAACTGTTTTTTGACGTATCCTGTGATTTTACTACTCGATATTTAGTGATTTCTGTAAGCAAAACCAGGTAAATGAACTTTTTCTCAGGTAAATTGCTTAAAATTTTGCAGTATAAGGTTATGATAATTAGTTTCAATCCACTGCGATCTTTAGAGTTGAGCAGCTACAAAAGCAGTACACAAATATCTGCACCAGAATGTGCACCACAGTTACCAAAACGACTAACCTTGACCCTTAGCCATCCCTTCTTTCACCGCTAGTTAGGTATAACCACAAAATTTATTTGGGAGAGATAACTCACCCTCGATGGATGAACTGATCATACTGCATCGGTTGCGCTGGTTTGGCCGCGTGCTGCGTATGTCAGCCGACCGACTTCCTCGAAGGGCTCTTTTCGCCCAACCATGTGAAGTGTGGATGAGAGCCAGAGGCGGTCAAACAATGACTTGGCAGCGAAGTATGAAAACCATTACCAGCAAACTCAGCTGCGCTGGTCACTGCCGTCTTCCTGGATGGG